ATCTTTACCACCGAATCATCCAGATTTAGCTACTTCCTACAACAACATCGGTCTTGTCTATAATCACATGGGTGACTATAAGAAAGCACTTGAATTTTACGGAAAAGATTTTGAAATAATGAAAAAAGTTCTGCCTCCAACTCATCCCTCATTGGCTACTTCCTACAACCACATCGGTCTAGTGTATAACAACATGGGTGAATACTCGAAAGCACTGGAATATTACGAAAAATCACATAAAATCTATCAAAAAGCTCTGCCTCCGACTCATCCCGATTTGGCTGCTTCCTACAACAACATCGGTCAAGTGTATTACAACATGGGTGACTACACGAAAGCACTTGAATTTTCTAAAAACGATTTGGAAATAACTGGAAAGACTCTACCACCAAATCATGCAGATTTAGCGTTTCCATATAACTGGCTCGGTAAAATTCATCGCAGCATGAAAGAGTACTCAAAAGCACTAAGTTATTTTCAAAAGAGTAATTCAATTCGAGAAAAAGCGCTACCTGAAAAACATCCATATCTCGCAATAACTTACAGTAATATAGGTGATGTTCATCGACTTATGGGTGATTATGAAAAAGCACTGGCATTTCACGAGAAGGCATTAAATATTCAAGAGAATGTGGAATGTGATCCACTTGATTGTGCAACAACATACATGAATGTAGGTGAAACTTATCGTGAAATGAAAGATTATACAACAGCATTAACATATTATCAAAAAGGATTAAAAATACGCGAAGAAAAACTGGCAAAATATCATCCTGATTTAGCTGTAATATATCATAATATGTCGAAATTATATTTTTCAACTAAAAAATATAGTATGGCAATGAAATATGTTCAACAAGCAGCTGAAATTGGAGAAGAGAAGTTATCTTCAACTCATCCACATCTCGTAGAATATCGAGAAACATTTGAAAAGATTCGAGAGAAACAGTAAAATATTTCATTGGTTTTTCTTCTTCTAGTATTTACTAAAATAAATTGCTTTGATAACTATTGATTATTTACTATTCGTGCGCACACGCGCGCGATCAGAAAGACCTGCCGTGCGTCCAGATACGGATACACATAATGCAGGCCTTTCAGAGTACTACACTACTTCGCCGCAACAGAGTAACACGAAGAATCTATCGGGGCCAGGCAACGAAGTCGCTCTGACAGGCTGTCATATACATAACAGAGGATTGGCAAAAAGTAAAATAATACGAACCTCTCGTCGGCATATCATAGGAATGAAAAAGTAAATAATTAAATAAGTATTATTCTAGAGCATTATTTTATATCTAAAATGAAAAAGGAAGAAATTTTAATTGATTAATATATGAACAAACATTATGAACAAAAAGAATAAATATGTAACTTATTTATATATTAGATACAAAAAAAATATTGTCTATTTGAAGAATGGCATAAACTTATGCTTGATTGAATCGAAAATTAAAGTGTCACAACTAAAAATATGATATACACATTTATACACAGTTTGATTCTTAGCCTTTTTTTTTATAACCGTTGAAATTTTTTTTTATATAAGATCTAGAACGAGAATCAAATGAATAGATGATATATCGTAATATGTACATTTATTAATTCAAGAATCTATTGACTATTTCAATATTAATAATATTATTGCTGTTGATCGATGTGAACACACATTCTAAAAGAAAAGAAAAAATTTACTATCTTGTTTCTATATGTTAGTTGCATAAATGAAAAAAAGAGATATTGAATACTTACTTATTGTTATTTTAAATTATTTGATTGTTCATGATTGATACGCGAATATACAATCTAAAAAAAGAGAAGAGATTTATGTTATGACATATAATACAAACGACAAAAACAAAAATAAGCCAAGAAACATAAGTTACATATGCAATAAGCAAAAGTTTAATCGCTTCATATTTTTTTCAACTTTTATTTCTATCTAATATGAATTCTTCCTCGACATTAGGGTTAAGATTGCTTTTGACCAATATGCCGGCTTTATCGCCATCTATCGTAAGCGTATAATTTTTTAAAACACCATACCAAGAATGCACGAAGTTCCTTGAGTAATACATGCGATAGCATTATAAATGTGATCATCAATGATCACTTGGATTCCCATGTCGATCAAAACGGACCACCGTAAACCGGCGTAACATTACCGTAAACGATCGTTTTTGCATCGTATTCCGTCGTAAAACGCCCACTTTAAGCCGAATTAAGGCGTTTTAACAGGGGCAGTATTATGGTCATACTTGGACACCGTATATCAGTCGTAAAACCTTGTAAAGCCGGCGTAATATTATCGTATTCTATAGAACATACGGCCGTATTACTGCCTCTGTTATATGGGGAAAATACGACACGTAAAACGGACCGTATTTGTATCGTATACGACCGTTTACTGATCATTTTCTTCGACCGGGGCACCATTCGGTAATGAATGAATGGCTTCAGGAGATGGTCACTCATACCGTCACTTTTAGGTTGATATAATCTACATACACTTTTTTCCATCGTAATAAAATGACACTGAGCCTCTGCCACACGAAAAAGAAGGGATTCGAGACAAGAGCATGTACGTACATTAACATTTATAGATCAGAAAATGAATGTAAGAAAAAATTTCTCGACTATTTTGACATCAATAATTTTATTAAAAAGAATTCAGAGATGTTCATTCATCAAACTTTGATTCAATTCAAGAGCACTTGATCAATTATTCTCTTAAAGCTTTTCGTAGTTGCAAATTTTATCGAATAAAGAGACTGCTTTTGAGCGAAACGGTCTCATCAATTGATATTCGACAATTTCTTGCTGTTATTTTTTATGTTTTGCTATACTCAAGTTTATTTTTCATCCATTGATTTTTATTCAAACAAGCAAAGATGATGTAACCAATCATAAAACGAAGAGCAAAATCGATCAAGAATGTTGAGTTCTTTTATACTAATATAATCGTTTTCATGTACGAAAAAATTAAGATTTTTTTTGTGACATTGTATCTCAATTGAGTTTTACGAGCAATTTTCTAGAAGAGAGTGATACTGTATTTCTTTTTGGCAACGCTATTGCTATCTCCAGTTGTTTATGTGACCATGTGCGCGCATCAAAAGAAAATAGTAGCTTATGCTTATGTGGTCGATAATGTTAGAACGACTTTCAGAAAAGAAATAAACTAATCTTCCTAATGGCAATGATATAGTTATGAAATTTTTTTATAAAACAATTGATGATTGTGAAATAAACTTGTATTTAAATATACGAGTTGTTAGAATCAATTTTCGATTTGGTGTATTAATCTCGCTTTTTTCAGTAATAGATAAGTTCTACACCTCTACCAAAGTTATAAGTACTGAATATCAATACGGATTTAATTGAGAAAAATAGGTGATCAAGCTTTTGCAGTTTTTTTTGAGCCTCTTTGAATGTTGGTTTGCGTTTTTCTCCTGAATCTTGTCCTTCGTCTGGAAAGGATAATCTATGTTCGTGAATATATTATACAGAGTAGTTTATTTACGACATTAGTAAATTGACAGGCATGCTTTTGCATACAAAATCACCGTACTTATATCCTAAGTAAATCAACCAAAATTATTAAAATACTTTTATCTTGAAAGATGCATTTCTCTTCGAAAAAGAAAAAGAATTCTTTTCGAACTTGGTTGAATAAATAATTTTGGAATAATCATCACGTGTGAATGCAGAGCGACACACGTGCTTCTTGTGTTCCTTTCGATATCACATGAAACATAGGAAGCAATTGTTGATATCAATCAAATATGATAAAAATGAGAAATTTATTAGAAAACAATTTTCGTATATATAATCGTGCGGAGATAAAAAATAAATGAAAATGTTTCTGAATCATCAAAAATTGAATCGAGAAAAGATTAAAAATTTACTTTTCGGCACTAATTCAATTTTCAGATACATACTTTAAAGCAGACATCTCATACTTAAATATTACTATGTAACTGTTTATCAATTCCGTCTCATCACTTAGAATTGTTTTATATTAATAAAAATTATTAATATAGCCATGCAGGATACAATTATCTCCATCACTTCAGCAAGATTTCTTTTCTCTTTTTGTGCCACATGTGCACACAATATATGAACAAGTTCATTTGAAAGATTCTTATGAATTAAAACAAGCAAAATGAAATAGCAGAAATGATAAAAAAAATCGTTTGAAGAAGGATGAAAAGACCGAAATATTCCTTTTGAGACATTTGTTTCTAACAATGGAGTCCAGATCAAAAACGCTCGCCGGTAAACGGCCGTTTTTTATCGTATTACGGCCGTATATGCATTAGTATCGTAAACTATAAAAATCAGCACTAGTCGGTTGAATAGTTGAAAAGAAACTGAGAAGATGATCTACCTGTATTCAATTAATTAATTGAACAATTTCATTAAAATAGTCATTGTCATATGTACATATTTCCTGTTTAAAGATGTCTCACACTGTCATAAGCATTTTACCTTTTCTTTCCGTGAGTAAATTTCCCTTGTTTTCTCTTAGTTTTCATTGTTATTATTTTGAAAGTTGAGGTCTACATTCAATCGAATGCTTATCTCAGTTTTTCTCTGCAAAACGGAAGTATCAACTCAGACGTTTACAAGCACTTGCTAATACACTGGTAGCTATATTCATTCAAAACAAAATAATAAATGGTAGACACAGTATCATCTACCATTATCATAATTTCACCTAATATTTCGTTCATTTTTTCCCAACAATGCATTGAATTAATCGGTAAGAATTTTATTTTTATGATAAACAATACATTCGAAATTTATTTGACTGTATAAACTTTAGTTTTAGAAAAATATGTAAAATGAATTATTCATGTGTATAATCTGCCATTGTTTTCAGTGTGCCTTCAATAATCGAATCGTATAAGAAGTCTTCACTATAGTACAGTTGATACTAAAAAATTGAAATTTGGTTTTTGAAAAAAACACTCAATAGAAATTATACTTTACATTCATATTTTTATAGGCCTGTAATTCAGCTGATGGAGTTACTGCTTCAAATTCTGCTAGTGAACAAATAATTACATTGGGTGCATCGAATTGAACTGTAGCAGGAAATCCATTAACAAACAAGCCAGTTGTCATGATTGTTCCACCAAATGGAACGGTATTTTCTATGCACAAAAGAAAGATTGATTTCTTTGTAAAATAATAAAACTAACTGCAAACATAGCCACCGAATCGTTTAACAAGTGCTTCGATGGCTAATGGTGTATCAGCCATTTTACCGATAAAGGCAAATTTATAACCAGTAAATATGCTGTTGAAAAAAACACAACATTGAAATATGATCTTATTCATCGGAAGAAAATAGATTTTCCCGGACTGATCTCGGTCCCTTGACTAACTTATAGAACAAGTCAACCGACCGAGATCAGCCTAAGAAGAATTCTATTTATAGCGAATACGAACACTTACTTTACGCCTTTAGCTGCTACCGCTTTTTTGTACAATTTACCAATTTTAGCTAGTTTTTTCTTTTTAGCTTCTCTTGTTATAGGAGTACTCTATTCAAAAAGAATCGAATAGATTGTAAAGAAAATTAATATTGGTATGTTTTACATATTTAAATTCTCCAGCATTTAGTTTATAATGAACAATATATTGAGGAAGGATATAATCACTGCGAAAGATGATCAGCTCTTTTCTGTCAGGTGAACAATGCGAATCAAAACCCTAAATAGAGATAGTGAATATATATTGAAAAACAAAACATTCCATGATATTTTACATCTTGAAGATCAGCACCAACTATTAGCTGTGTACATTGATATACCTGCAAAGAGTAAATGAGACAAAAAGGCATGATTTTCATTATGTATTCGTTACTTTTCCTTGTAATATTTGGCATAACATCAATTTTGTAGAACCTTTGATGTAACCCATTGAATAATTAGGATATTCCTATATGATAAGAATTAGTAATTACAATAGTGACTTTAGTTATCTGAAAAATATCCTCATCGAGCTTTTTCCTATACAAGAAAAAAACTTACACTAAAATATGTTCCTCGTCCATAATAACCCGTATCAGTTGCATGTAGAAATCCGTCTTGACCTAGAAACAATAAAATAAAGATAAAATAAATTTTGCGCGCGGAATCTATTTACCGGGCACTTTAAAACCGTTATCACATATTGGTTGTATATTAGTTACAGCTGTACCATGAAAAGCTAATACAGGATACGAGTAGTTTTCACCACGTTTTCTCTTTAGTTCGTCTCGTGCTTGACTACAACAACAACAAAAATAATAATAAATAATAATAATACTATTTCTCGAGTTCTATACTTGAATTTATTGATTAGAATTGGATTGCAAACATATTCAACTTTGATTACTTGTGCTCTAAAAGATAAACGATACATTTTGAAAATGGAAAATGATTTCATTGGAATTTATTACGTTGTGTGTCCACTTAATAAACGATAGAATTGTGATTCAGCTAGACGAAAGTGTAATTCAGCAGCTGAACCTATTTTACAATCAAGGGATATAATTAAATTTGAAAACATTTCATATTGAATTACCTTGTTTATAATTTCGTTCGGGAAATATTTCAAAATATTTAACTTTAGTACCCTTAAGAACTTCATCTTCACCTTCCATCAGTACAACACCTTCGCTAACCTTAATGAAGAAAATATTTTTATTTGAAATACAAAATGAGAAAATAAAAATAATTTACTTTGTTTTGTAGTTGTTCGATTTCTTTTTTCTTTTCTTCGGCTTCTTCACGAGTCTTTTTTAATTTTTCTTGTAATTTTTCTTTTAATTCAAATGCCTTAAAATAATTTTGTTAATTTTAAAAGAGTAATTCATTTATGTCAATTATTTACTCTTTCAATCATTAAACGTTTTTCATCATCGGTCATCTTTGAAAATGTTTTCTCTAATTTCACATCATAGACATTTTCCTATATGCAAAAAAAAACAATTCTATGAATTATCTACTATTATCTTACATCATCAGTATCGTATTCTTCTGTTTTTTCTCCATCGTCATCATCATCGCTTTCTAGTTTTCGTTTTTTACTATCATTTATTATTTCATTCTTTTTATCGGATTCTTTAGTTTCGTCTTCATCACTGCTATCAACATCAGGATGGAGTAGATCGAATGGATGGCTATATTGTGCAAAATGTAATAGATTTTTTCGATAGCACGTAGCACCAAATGGACATACTGGTAATGTATTAACAGTATCTAAATCAAAATTTGTCAAGTTACGAAAGAATTGAAGTTCATATTAACAGACCACTTTTAACTACTTTCGGAGTATCGAGAACAGACGTGACATGGGAATGTGAAAATTCATTTAAATGAGCTGGGTTTTTACGGTAACATTTGCTACCTGTAAATAGGAACAATAGACACAAACAGAAAAGCATAAACAAAATGTAATACCATATGGACATTGTGGCAAATCGTCTAATTTGGCTTTTTTGGCTGGATGTGTCGACATAGTGCTTCGATTTATTTGATTAAAAATCAATCTATGGAAAGATAAATAATACTTCGCAATTATCCTCGATTTTTGGTTGTTTGACGCATGTTCACTTTGCTGATGAGTGAAAGCACATCAGCTCTAAGAATTTTATTCCAATCTAATTTTTGCTAGAACTTAATGATAATCCTCTTTTTTCTTCATATAAAAATTCTTTATTGAGTCAAAAAAAGTTTGTTTTGACATTAAATATATATAGCTATTAGTAAAAGTTTCTTGCATAATCTGTCTCAAAACTTGAGCAAGCTCTTGGATACATATTCTATTGTCGTTTTCTGACTGGTCGACATCAATAACCAATGAAAATGATTAATTGGCCTTCATCATACAATAGGCTTCTGACACAAGAAAATCTTCAACATTTGACATATTTATTTGCTCATTCCTATTTTCTCTTATATCTATGAACGAAAAAGTAATTCATAGTTTCGAGGGTGTTTGCCCATTGACTTACTATGGAGTGTATGGTATTAAAAAAAGGTAAAATATAAAGAAATTTTTTAAAATTAAATCATAATTATATTCATGATTATTTTAGTTTTAATATGCCAAATTTTCCATGTTCGGATAAGTCTGAACAATTATCTCTGAAAAAACATCTCATGTATAAACACAATTTATCGAATACAGCTGGTAAGAAAAAAAAACGAATGCTATAATCAATAATAATTGAATTTCACAATTTTTCTGTAGCAAATAAAATCGTTATTGATCGTATGAATAACCACATCAATGAGAAACAATCTCATAATAAAAATGATTTAATATTTAATAATACCCAAGAATTATTTTCTCATTCAGTTCATTGGCATAAAGGTCGATGTCCATTTTCCTATGGATTCAATAATGTTTTTAATTTAACATTATCAAATAATCATATTAAAAATTATAATTGTCGACATGCAAAACAATGTTTACTTTTATCACATTTACGTGTATCACATAATTTAAATATAAAATCTGCTAAAAAAATTGTCAAAACAATGATGACATCATCGATTGAAAGTAAACAAAAATCATCGATTGAAAATGATATTAGAGAAATTATTTTATTTCAAAAAGATGATGCAGTCTTAAATACAAATCCGTATGTATTTTAAAGCAAAAGATGAAAAGTAAAAAAAGATTGTTTTTTTTTTCATTTGAGAAATATTTATAATGATGATCGAAGATTTCGACATTATTGTCCTCTAACAAATATAACAGCAAGTATAAATGAAGATATACAAGATCAATCATTACTCAATGTGCCTTGTAATAAAACCAATGAAAAATTTATACTTTTTGCACATCTTCAGTAGGTTACTAGTCTTCTTTCTTCAATACTCATATCAATTTAGCAAATTTTTTTCTACAAAGAAATTTATTCGATACCTTTCTGATCTAGTCTACTACTATCTAATTATATCGTGTGAATAACATATAATTATCAGTGGGCTGTTCTTAAATTGAGCTTTAATGAATCGTTATATACAAACAGGATCTTCAGCATGAAATGTTTTCTTGTCAAATCTCGTCTTCGGATAATAATTTTTGCGAGCTCATAAAGACTACAAATATCGTACACTATGGGAATTATAATTTTCTAGGTGATTGCAAAATAGAAAATGATGTTCTTATTATGACATCAGTCCTCTCGGAACGATGAAATTCATTTGCTCCTGTTGTTTTCTAGGCATTATCATCAAATGAGTGGTGAACTTGCACTTCGTTTAATTCGCTCTATCCGAACTAGTACAGAATCAACAGTAATTAACGAGCTTATTATCAATAATAATAAACAATCGACATCAACGAATAATACTGCTACTACTACAGCAACAACCACAGCAGCAGCTGATGAAATTGATATTGTACCTTATAAATGTTTATGTCCTTATTCAACAACATCGAATCATGGAAATTCAAATTTATTAAAAAAATTTATAAGATTTGTGAAAAATATTCCTTGTGATCGTCCGTGTCCAGTAAATCTCTATCGACATTTACGAAATTATCATAAAGTTGATTTACAACACGCGAAAGATATCACTCGGACTATAATGCTTTGTAAAACAGTGAAATCAGAGAGTTTAACCGATCAACAAACTTCAACAACCACCAGAAAACGAACTAAAGTAGTTATCGGATAAAATCTAAATCAAGTTCTATGATTTTTTTTAATTTTAATTTAGAAAGCAACAAATAATTATGAAACGACAATTTCATTAGGTAGATTTCATTCGTTTTTTTGCAAAGAATAATAATAACAAAGTATTATTTTATTTTGTGCTCTAGTACATGTAAATTTGAACAGTGTGAATTCAGAGACGAAAAGTATGAATTTTTTATTTTAATTTTATTTGAAGAGAAAATTTATTTTATTAATCTAGATGAATCCATTGATTTCTTAATTGACAATGAAAATCCTGAAGATTGGGATTCATCAATGATAAACGATGAAGAATCACTTTTTCTATCATTTGATGAAGAGAGATTAAATGGTGATGATGATGACGATGATATTGATAGAGATTTTTAATTCTATAATTTATATTTTCATTCTCTTAACTTAATGAACAGTCTCTATGAGATAATTGTTCAATTAGTTTCTGTATAAATTATACTTTTTCTTCAGTTATGTGCCTGGATGTGGCCCATAATAGCTTGTATTGGTTTTTGTATGCATGCTTAATTCCAGAAATTAAATGCTTTATATATTTTTTTTTCTTTACAAAAATTTAGTTTTAATCATTCTTTTGCTGAATATTATTTTTATGTAAGTGAGAACATTTTATAGATAATAAAGAAATCATAGAAAAGATCTAGTCCATGTAATTCATGGTTTTTTTAAATTTTTCAATGAACTGTTTCAAACTGCGAAAAGAACGTAGCTTTGGTCTCCTTATTCTTTTTGAGAGATCACTTAGGCGGTGGATGTGTCGATGGAATCATACTGGACCCACATCCTCATTATTGTATATTTTTTCTTTTCAATCTACATTAATTATTGTTTTTAGTTACAATACTTGAACTTACAGAGTAACCAACAGGAATCAGTCAGAAATTAAAAACTCTGGAGAAGAAATGACGAACCCATCGAAAGAGATCGTTTTGTTGTAGCTATTGAAATTTTGATTTTTATAATAATTATTTGTTTTTCAAGAGGAATTTTATTACACGTGTTGATGATGATGATGATGATGTAGCTCGATTGGAACAAGTCGATCGAGAAGTAATGAAGTTATTTTGTACTTGTATGATCAGATTCTACTGATGATTTTCTTTTAGCTACAGCTGAAATTGGTTTGTCAGCGACAACTAGCTTTTTCAAATGCATGATGACGCTTGTTTTCTTATTTGTAAAAACAAGCATACAGATCAATGCATGTATTTTGTCTTACTAATAAACAGCTATAAATGAAATTTTTTGAAATTATAAAAAATGATCTTCATCATGGAGAATAGTTTATACGCTGGTTATTCTCATTTATAAATTATTTCAGTAAAAATTTGAAGAAGCCAATTTTGGGTGTCGGCTCAGCAAAGTGTTCTCTTCAGTCGCACTCACCATGAAGAGGCTTAGGACTCTTGAAATCAATCTCAACCTGTATTTCCCCTTAATTTCATAATTTTGTAGAACTATTTAACTTTAAATAACTCAAAATAATAAATCAGACTCAAATGATAAGCATTCTTGAAAGAAAAATGCATCCATAACAATTTTCTGTACTTTAGATCATGGAATGAACACTCAGTAACTTGTGTCAACATTGATGCTGTGGACGCATTGTCTAATATTCTGAATGACTAAGTGAAACTTTCATTGGAAACAGAAATTTCAATTCAATGTCACATTTTTTGATTAGCTACAATAGAAGAAAGAAATTAATCATACTTCTTGTGATATTCTAAAGCGAAGGAAGAAAAAAATTAATGAATCGTGTATAATGAGTTAACGAGTATGAATGTGTCACATAGCAAATTACTGATATTCTGTTTGCGACGGTTTTGTTCGTCTTGCTTTCAAACAGAAAACACGAAGATGTTTTCTTTTCACATCAATGAAAGTAGAAAGCGAGCATTGTATATAAACACATTTTTATTAGCTACAACCTTAGTCAATCGATCACGTCACGTTTACATCTCGGTAATCAACTACAAGATTCATAGATGAGTTTGAAATTGTGGATTCGCACCACTCATAAGACAGATCAACACGTACTGTACGCTACAATAATTCTCGTAATGACTGAAATGATTTATTCAAGATTTTTACCAAGCCAATACTTTAAATTTTACTTCCTTTATTTTAGAACAATATGTGAATGATTTACATAATCATTGCTACCCAGGTCGAACAGTACGGTCCGTATACGGCCGTTGACGGCTACTTTACGACTATTTTCCTGGTGAAAGTTTGCCGTAATTCCTGGCGCAGTAATACGGACCGTATGATCATGAAAGCTCGGAGCACAAACAGCCGTAAACCATGAAAATTCAGTCCCGTTTACGGTGCCGTATTACTGTGCCAGATATTACGGGCAAATACGGTCTACTTACTGCCGTAAATATACCGTTTTGACATCGTTTGCCGTCCATAAACAGACCGTAAACGAGTCCGTTTTGATCAACCTGGGATGTTATACAAATTTAATAGCATCCTCATTTGATGATCTTGATGAAGAACATACTGTATGGTTGATAAAGAAAAACATAAAGATAGCAGCACCAATTATCGAACGATTTCATATGTTGTACAATCAACTAAGTTTCATTCTTACGTTTTGTTTTATATTGTTTAGAAGAACTCAGTAATCATGTATATGCGCTTGATAAGAACTGATTTATTTTTTTCTAGTCAAATCTTTACATAATTTCAGTAACTTTGTCAGATAATTTTAGTTTATTCCAGTGAGTACCACTTGTTATGATGATCCAACAAAAGATCATTCAGAACCAGTCGCCTCGACGATTATTCCTAACAATCAGATGAATGCCAAGGCATCCCAGTGAAAAATATTACTAAAAAAGAACGGTAAAGAATGCGTTCCAAAAGAACTGAAGCTCTTTTTTTAAGAAAAGAAAACGTTCCACAACAAGTGGAAACCGTTCTCAAATGGAACGAACTAGACCGCATTCTATCATTCTAAGAAGGTGTTCTTGGTCGTTTCGAAATGGAACAGTGAAGAACGCATTCTGCCACTTGTGGAACGCTTTCTCTTCTTTAAAACGGTTAACCTTTCTGATCACCTGGGTGATCATTAATAGATGAATCTACAATTAGTCAAAAG